CTGGGATCATATTTCATATCATATGATTGACATTTTATTTTTCATATTTTTAGAATTTTAAATGAAATTTTACATTAAAAAAAATTTAACCGTTAAAACATCAAATAATTTTCCTTTTTTGTTCGAAAATATGTAAGGATTTTGATAATCAGATAACGATAGCAATGATCGTTTAAAATTGTATTTGTAATTTTAACAGTTTGTCCTACTAGGCCATTTTCCGTTACTATTGGTACTATTCTTTGCAAATGCTATTATAGTTACAGTATTCTCTCCATTCCAATTTTATGCAAAAAAGTGGAGATAAAAATGACGAAAATATAAAGGTTGTAAGACATGAAACAGATGTCAAATAAAAGATGGAATTAAAGAGGGATGAAATTTCCATTTTTGAGATAAACTATTGTAAAAATAATTGATAGCTTCGTTTGGCGGTTCTTAATAAATTTTTGGGGATCAGATAAAAGAAATGAATTTTTAGGGAAGAATTACTTTTACTTCCACTCTTTAAAACTTAATAAGCATAAAATAAACGAGGTGAGTATACTGGAAAGTAGATCAGTTTGTTTTATGTTATAGGCAGTTTGAATTCAAACTTCCCCTGTTCTTTTATCTTTTCGATTTAGTAATTCATCAGTAGGTCTGGTTTTAATGAATTTCTCGAAATTAGTTTTCCCATGCTTAAATGACAAAATCAATATTAAATTCATTATAAATGGCATCAACTTCCAAATTGCGGTGGGATTATAATGATTATGACTGGTTATAACTGATTTGAATTTGTTATAACTGATTGGCTATAATTTGATTTGTTATGATTGATCTGATTTGTTCAGACTTAATTCTATATTGAAACAAATTCTCAGGTGCGCAAGCAGGTGCAGAAAGTTTTAATGGTACTTGATGGATTAGGTGTTCCATTTAAAGCGATTGACATAACATTACGAGGTAACGAACAGTATCGAGACTTCATGCGACAAAATGCCTTGAATGAGCGGTGCGATGGAGTTCCTTTACCGCCTCAGTTTTTCGTTGATGACGAATATCTGGGAGTAAGTCTCGGCTTAAAGAATTTAGATTTAAAAAACTTTAAGGCCTGCAAAAATGAAATTAAGAACTATGGAACGCTGCTTTTTCAAATAAAAGGAAAAACAGAGGAGAAAAAGGGGGAAACAATTGAGAGAGCAAGCATAAATGTTGTTCGGAGGAAGAGGAGAAAAAATAAACCTATTATAAATGTAATTGTCTGTGGCAGAAACAGTCGGCATATCTCTTATTAAGAAGAATTTATTTATGCTGATTCAACTATCAAAATTTGCAGAATTATATGGATTTTGAAGAAGCAGTCGAAGATAATCAATTACCAGAATTTCTTCGCTTGATACCTTCATCAGCAGTAAGTTTTACCGTTGAATATTCACACCCTTGTCGGTTTTCGAAATTGTTTTTTGAATTGATATGAAAAGTGCTAGTGATATAGAAGGGTTATCAGTCTTTTACTTTCTTTCCTTACCATGATTTTATTTGTCAAAACGAAATGAGGAATAACAGTACAAAATCAGGAAAAAATTCTAAAAATAGCACATTTGAAAAATTTATTGTGCGTAATATGCTACATCAGTTGGCTATTTTTACACTTCACAGGAAGCAGCAGGGTAGGAAGCGGAAGACTAGGAAAGTGTAAAGAAGGAACGAAAAGGCTTCAAATCGGTCGTATCTTCATTTGTATGTATAAAATAGTGAAGTTTTACAGTAAATTATGCTTCTATATAATTGGCATTTATTGAATAGTCAAAGGGTTAGAAGTTGTGAAATATTCTTTTTAGCAAAAGAAGTGAATCATTTGTAAGGTAAGTCTGAATACCTTTTATCTCTGTGATCGTTTCTGCATTACACGTGCCAATATTTGTTTTTAATAGTATTCCGTAGCATACAGGGACATAAGGAACCTTGCAGCAAATCAGGGTCACTTTGTTTCAAGAATGGAATTCTGTGAAGGTGACCTCCTCTCATTACAATACATCTTAAAATTTAAAGCATGTTTGCCAGAACTTTCGCTTATATCAGTACTTCCTCAGTGTCAACGCTTCATAGCAGCACTACTTACTATTCGAAATTTGAATTTCTTTTCTTATAAATAGTTGCAAATGTTCACTGCATTCATTTCGACGATCAGTAAAATTGGATTGGTTGACAGACGGCTTGAAACTACCAGAATGAAGGGTCAGTAAGTTGCGATTTCTGAGTAGACTGGAGAGTGACAGATGATCATCATCATCTATGATTTCCTTCTCTTAATATCGTCCGCTGGTCTACCCATCAGTCTAGGAGTGTGTTGACATTATGGACAAATAGGTTGCCAGTGCTCTCAATAAACGGAAAGGCAGTTTTATACTTGCAGCAATTAAAATAAGGTGCTGTTTCTTAGGGTATTCTAATTGCAATAAGAGTTGAGAAAATCTTGCTTCATTTTAAACACTTTTTTTGGCTCTTTAAATACACACGCCATCATTTTTCAATTGCACAGTATTATTGTAAAGATCTATTTGTGCTTGTAATGCTGTCGACCTCGCTTCAATCTTTCTAATTCGTATTATATTGAGAAAAAAAATAAAAAATAAAAAAATTATTTCAGGAAGATGAGGACGATGATGAAGGGGAGGATGAGGGAGATGAAGAAGAGGGCACAAGTGAAGGTGAAATATCCGAGAAATACAACGATAATTATGGTGAAGAGGGGGAGGATGAGCAAGAATGGGATGAGGAGGAACAGGTTGATGAGCAAGTGGAGAATGATAGTGGCGATGTATCAAGTGGTTTGGGTAGTTCAAGTAATGAAGATGATTCCGAAGGGAGTTCAGAAAACAAGGTAATAATAGGTAGTGATATCGAGGGAGATAAGGTAAAGAGTGAAGAAAGGACGGAAGGGGATGATGAACAATATGAAGGGGAAAAGGAGTTGGAGGATGATGAGGTAGAGTTGGAGGATGAGGATTTTGAGGATGAAAATGAGATTGAATGACAATGATCATTATGTGATGAACTTAGATTACTCGCCTTAAAATTCCTCTCGTATTGTTGGCTGCTTTGCTTGTTCTCTGATTTAAATGCCAAGGTTATGAAATGAATTCACCGGAGTAGTAGAATGACGGTAAGAAAGTATTTGGCCCATTCAGAGTAAATTGTGGATTTTGAGCCTCACAAATCTTTTAAGTGGAGATACCAAGTTGAGATTGTTTTGATCATCTCTGATCTCGATTTTAATTAAAAGTAAACGTATTGAGGAAGTCCAGCGTGACAAATTTTACAGTTCTTCAAAGCTGCTGTTCTTTTGTTGGGGACCAAATGTTCCTTCCCAAAATAGCCAACTTACCTGACTTAGTCTTTCAGCTACTTCGTTCCTTCAAAGATAATCACACACTAACTGGTATTGAATCCGGAAAACTCTCCCCTCAACGCCTCCAATTTTACCAGGACTTGCAGACATTTTGCCTCTTAACGAATGTGTTTTATCTAAAGGAATATTTTTAAAAAAGTTGAGATGAATATAAATGATTTTGGAAACTAATACTCTAGTACTCGTCTCCTCGTCACCTTGTTATAATATTTATGCAATTTACTCATTGTTTTATTTATTGTGGACAAAAGTTTATCATGTTTGGCAGTCACTACCAACAAAACTCTAACAATGCATGCAAGGGGAATGGACTATTAGAAGTACGCTATGCCGTTCACTTTTCTTCAGGCATTTAATATTGAGTTGTGCGTGGAGGGATCTATTACAAATGAGATAGAACGAAAAAAAAAATGATGAGAAATAACATTCTCAACGTTTTGGACGTTTCATTTCATTCCTTATCACTGAGCAACTTCAAGAGGAGGTAGCAAAACAAAAGTTCACGACAAATCCTGAACTTGGGGAGACACAGAGGGCGTATCATTTTATAACACTTTGAACAAGTCGAAATTGAAATTGTAAAGATTAGTTCAATCGGTGCCAAAATATTTGGTTGTAAACCAAAACGGTATCAATGGGTTGATGTCGCTTGTGAGTATGGATATCTTGGGAAATTGACCCATAACTTGTTTGATGCCTGCAAATTCAAGTCTTGTCTTATTCCCCATGAGGCATTCAATGAGAAAAGATTGAAATTAGAAGTTTTCCAAAGAAATCAAGCAGGACGTTTAAAAAATCTCACATGATAAACGTGACTTTGAATTTTGCAAATCTTACCGGCAGGTGTTGCGAACAAAGTTAACAGTAAAATGTTCTCCTCAATTACACCATTTTCGACCAATACTGATACTGCCTTGATTACCGTGGCACCTGTGCCTTGAAATACAACGACTGAACAACACCGAAAAAAATAACTAATGGAAAGCCTTCATTTTTAGGAATAAGTAAATTAAGCATCTGCACCAAAATGGACAACTTTCACCCGAACTTTAGCTCTATGAAGTTTTCAATTTTAAATGTATAAGGTTTTCACTGCACAAGAAACATTCCCACTGATCTCCTATTTTCGAAAAGAAGTCATTTTGCCAATTAGTTAAGACCCACGCAGCGAACAACAAGTAACTGAATCAAATGGATGTATATTAGTCTAAAGTGCAAGTTTTTACGAAAATCACGGAGTGCGGGAGGCATTTCGTTACAGTCTATATGAACGCAATAATGTTTGGTATTCCTATATTTGAAGTTGTTATACCCATAAAACTTACTAAGCAGTGGGTATAAAAGTAGTACTCTTCGATGCTTGATGTCTGGCATCAATCGGGCATATAGCAATCTTGTGTCGTCACCTACCAACATTTTACCAATGCGGACCGATCTATGACAAAACTGGTATGGAATTGCTATAACAAAATTATTAGCAGAAATCATCGTTGCACCCAAACTGTACTTGGAACTGATGACTTGGTGTGGTTTCGGCCCCTAGTGCTATGAATATTTTTTTATTTCGTCTTCAGAGATGTCGCGAAAAGATTTCGTCCATTTAAGCGTATGAAATTCATTTTCTTAAGTTGCATATCCCGAAAATTCGGTCCACTTTACCAAGTTTCCAAATAGTACTACGTTATGTCGTGCATGATACGTTACCCGTCGACGCCCTTAACACATCTGCTCAGAATTCTTTAGAACCTGTTCATTGTCCCATCCCTCAGACTTGTGGATAAGTTGTTGGTGTTTTCACCGCATGGCTTTCGATAGGCTAAAAAACGCCATCTCCTGGGCTTACTTGAAGCCTTCATCAATACTGAATCATATGGTCATCCATAATGAGAAATTTTAATTTGATGCAGTAGTGATCCTTTATAATCTTTTCCTCAGTGTCAGATTAATTCCATGCAAATCCAATCGAGTTCAAAATTTCCGGTGAGAATGCAATAGCAACCTAAATAAGCGTAAGAATTATCTGAGTCAACGGAAACTCATTTATAATTAAAATTAATAAAGTAACCTGCAACACTGCCGCAAAGCTTGCTCCATCGCCTCACCTCCTCGACATATCGAAACACCGCAGTTTCCTCGACAGAAGGCAATACCTTTATACTTTACATGTGCTGGAGTTTCTATTTCAATGTTTGCATAAGGCAGTCGGTTCAGACCCTCTTCAACTACCAACCTAATCAATCGATCAGCATAGAATACGAAATCCGAATGACTTGTTTCCCTGAAAAATTCCTGCATAAGTCCCTTCCCGTACACATTAAACATTCAGATATAGAAAACAAGATGTAAAAGTAATATTCGTAAGATTAAAAGTTTTACATGGAGAAGGAATGAAGCTTACAACTCAGACCTGGCTTTTATGTAAACTACTTTTTTCTAGTATCTCAAAAATAAAAAAGAAATAAATGATCATTTATCGATTCAATGGCACTAACCTGTCCATTATGATAGTTTGCAATTCTATGATTTGGTCGGTACGTTCCAATACGTGAATATTTTCCATACCGGCGCCACCATTTCGTTTTTCATTAACATTACCCTCCGCTGCATCTCTGAGTATTTTGGCACGAATAAAACTCTCCCCCATATTGAATGAGTCGTTATAAATCTGAAAGTTTTAACGGACTTGTTTGCCCAGGAGTGTTTTACACTCATAAACCGTGCAACGTGTCACTACGAAAAATCCGCTGAAACAAAAGTAACTGCTTCACCTCCCCCACCCACCCCTATCGCACGGATGAATTTCATAACATAAACTTCATCTTACGTATGAATGAATTTCAGAATGTAAACTTCATTCCAAGTGTCGATGAGTTTCAAGACGTAAACTTCAGGCTTTTGTTAGTCGTTAGTAACGGCTTAGAGAGATTGGAGGTATTTGGCAGGACCTCGAACTAACAGGGTTATTCTCATTTTATGCAGTCCCGCTCATTTTATGTATTGTTGGATATTGTTGCCTTACATCGTGAAACAATTCTGAAACCTCCCGCAAGGAAGTTGTCTTATTTCTTCAGTAACATTGGCACTAGGTCTCAGACAAAACTGACTTCGACCATAGGAATGTACTCGAAGTGATACTTCAACTGTTCTTTTAGTGCTACCAAAACAGATATGCTGACGAAATAACGATTCTGTTTTGGTATTACTGAACTAGACTACGGTATAGTTCGGATATAGTTTTTTTCAGAATCCGATATAGTTCGGATTCATGCCTAAAAGAGTGGACAGGATTTCTCCAAGTTAACAGATCGGAATTTGACGACGAAATAATGAGAAAACATGTCTCTTTACTTTTATGGACATCGAATATACCAGTGCATGAATAATACGCAAACCTCATTTTCTCCATTTCAGAGGATTGTAGTTTTAAACGAACCATGAAGACTGTAAAATTCTGGGGGCTTATATCCTTCGTATGTTATGCTTGACTCGAGCGTAGAATACTTCTAGTAACATCGTGAATTACATCGTCATATCAACAGGAAGTGTGAAAACTGACTTTGTGCAATACCTTATCATTGATACTAGACCACTTTTAGTACTGATTTTCCCAGTAGTACGTTGTTCGGACGATCTTTTGCTTATTTTGAAAATTTGAAGTACTGTATAAGTGCTTCAGTCATGACCACCCCACAATTCATCGCAAAAAACCTTGGAGCATATTTCAAGTTGGAATCAAACTGTAATTGTCGAAAAGTTTAGCCATTTAGAAAGCTTAAAGCATGGAAATATGGTTTTTGATTCGAAAAAAAAGTTAATACCCTCTACATTTAAGCAGTACCGTGCAATTGCTTCAATCATTCCCACTCCGCAGTTCATCACAGGAAACTTTGTTTGAAGCATATTTCAAGTTGAAAACTTAGCATAAAACTTCATAATAAAAGACATAATAATATGATGATGTTCATTTCATCACGTCGCTTTCCCCAAACTTTCAACAACAGCTCATCTTATCAAAATGAGATTTATAGTAATAGGCCTAAGTAAAGATAAGCCATAGAAAGATTCAGAGTGGTGAAAACTACTGACATCAGTGTAAATAGTTAAACTACTAACTTTTTTCATGGAACTACTTACACTGCGCAAATTTCTGCTTTGTACTTTAATGGAAAATTTTCGGAGTTTGGGGAAGAGCGAATATGCTCAGATATTACAGTCAAATACAATAAATCAGTGTCATCCAGATGTAAATGTTGTGAGATAGCAGACTAATTTAAATCCAGAATAAAATCATTTGGTTATCATAATCAGAAAATCCGATGGAGATAGCAGGACAAGCTCATCAGTTTTGTTGTCCAGTTATTTCTCATTTTAGCTTATGGAAACGATTTCACATCCGTCATTACATGAAATCATTTGATCTTGGATGCAAGAAAAATCTTTGCATGTAATATCATCCAGATATAGTTGTGTGAGACAGCAGACGAATATGAATCCAGAATGAAATCATTTGGTCTTCACTGACTCTTTCGAAAAATATGTAGGAAGACGTCGCATCGAAGAAAACAAAACTTCGTTTCATCCTGAAGTTCTGCTCCAAACAATTTGATTTTCTGTGTGAATTTTCTCCAGAAAACAACTCTCATCGGGCAATACAGTGATTAGGCGAAATGCCTTTGGGATTGATTCAAAAAAGTCTCAAAGCGATAAAACGAAGGAATTCTTACTGCATGCTCTCTGAATTTTCTTGCCACACTAAATGAATTGTTCATGGAAATTGATGGTGTCTTCAAATAACATTGGATTTTTTGGATTAAATTAAGCGTAACTTTTATCATGAAACCTTAGCTAGGGGACCTAATTATAGGTACTAGTTCTGAATAAAATCAAGGAGGATTCATGGGGGCATGTGGCCGTGACATATAATTAAATGGATGTATTGGATATTCCATAAGCGCATCGTGTAGTCTTTCTGCTCTCTCATTTCAAGATAATAAATTAAATTACTTTACACGGAACTGCAAGCAGACATTCCTAATTTGAATATTCGGGGTAGATTGCACTATAGCAGTTTAAGTAATATGTTCAAAGGGAGATATCATTCCGAACACGACCTAATTTGCATATACGTCTTATTAGTCTGTAAGAAAGATGATTCTTTTCCCTTCTTCATTCGTGATCAGAAATTTCCAGCCTTCATTAACCCATTTGTAGCCAGTGACAGAAGAGCGTCAATCTTTGAAATGTATCTTTCCGCATTATTTTTTAATTCTCAAGATTTTGACCTTCTACCTCTCCCTCCAAATATCAATGTTCTACCATTGCTAGCATTTGTTTTTCATTCATCATTGTTTATCATATTGTTATCATTTTATCAATTGCATTACGATCGTTATCCAACCATCACAGTTCGTCTTTATGCAAGTTTTACCATCCGTCTCTCTATTGTTCTTTGATTTAAATTGTAAGAGAATGGGCAGAAGATTTCGCAGGAGAGTAGAATTTACTGGGATTAGCAGAACCGTTCGGTGGTTCTGGATCATTTATTTCAATGTATTCCTAGTTCAACTGTATCTGATGCAGTGGTAGGTTGCAACGCGAGTAAGAAGTTTTTTTTTCTCTTCAAACTCATTTCCGGACTAAGATGAAGCTGAGTTGTAATCATGAAGACGGATTTCATTTTGAATTCAATTTCGAAAATTTTAAATTTTCGGGGAGAATGTAGCATTTGGGAAAGTTGCAGGTTGTTTCAGTGATGGTATGAGAAGGTTTTGACGTTTTGTTGAACAATTAGTCATCGTGTTTTCCTGAGATTCCTATTTCAGTCTTTAGTTCATTTCCTAAGTAGGTGGAAGGAGCTCAAAATAAAGATTAATTCAGAACGATTCTACATGGTGGCTGATATCGTAAGCTTTTT